GGGTAGCAGCAGAGAACACGCAGAGGCCTTGGGAGCTGGTCACGTCGCTGCCTTCCCAGGCCAGGGGTTGCTCTCCTGCTCACAGGTCATCCGCAGCCCTGGTAGGGGGAGGGGAAGGCAGGTGCAGGGGGAGGGAGAGCCAGGAGGAGGGGCCTTGTGGCCTGGGTGGAGTGACTGGGGACCCCACAGGGAGCCCGAGTGAGTGCATGACCTCCTCATCTCTTGCTCTTCCGTCTCTGGTACAGGACCCGCCACTTCCCCTGTCCCTGGTGGTCCCCTGTCGGCTGCGGGGTTTAGGACAACTCCTGATGGCTGGCCCAGCCGTGCCGAGCTGCTGGGCGATGCACGGTGTGTGGATCAGCCTGGATGGGGCAGTCGCCACAGAGGTGGAGGTTAGGGTGAGAGTGGAGAGGGGAGGCAGCAATTGGGGTGATCCGAGCTCTCCAGGTTGTGCGGCTGGAGGAGGGGAGCAGAAAGGCCTGTGGGGAGATAGATGTTAGGTTGGGGTCGTGGGACATGGGCCTTGCTGAGGACTCGCTGGCCCTGGGGCTGTCCAGTTCTGCCCCAAGGGGTGCAGCTCGCTTCCGGCGCTGGACGAACACACACTGCCCCCTGCTCCCCATGGGGTTCCAGAAGTCCCTCTGGTTCATTCCCCAAATGGCCACAACGGCCAGGGCTGAGCCACAGCAAAGCCAGGAGCTTGTTCCAGGTCCCCTGTGAGTGGCACATGGGCCATCTTGCACTGCTTTCCCAGGCACATTAGCAGGAAACTAGACCGGAAGTGGAGCAGCCCAGACTCCAACCAGCACCCATATGTGATGCTAACACAGTAGACAGCAGCTTGACCTGGTGCCCCACAGCTCTGGCCTTTGTCACAGAAGACACCCTGAGTGTGGGACCCCTGTGTGGGACCCTGCCCATGTCCCTTCCCTTTTCTGGGTCTCAGCTTCCCGTGTGTCTGGTGAGAAGGTCGGAAGAGAGGACTTCTGTGGTCCCAGAATACGGCCCCACCAGTGATGATGCCGCAGGTGGGTCGCCGGAGCGTTTCCGGTAACAGCTGGTGCTGCCGACTCCTGGGCAGAGCCGGTGCCATCCGCAACCTGGGTGGCTGGCGGTGCATCCCGAGGGAATTGAATTTCAGTGACCGAATAGACTGCCCTTTTCAGATTCCAAATTGCTTTGGGAGACAGATGGATCTGATTAGAGGGCTGGGAGGGGGGTGCGTGGAGCTGCGGGCGCGGCCTCTGCCTTATGAGATTAGCATCTCTGCCCGCCTGCCTGCCGGGAGCCAGCCAAAGCCTCCCCTGACGCCCGGTGCAGCTGGCAGCCTCGCTGGTTCCATCTGGATCACCTGGGCCCCGTGGGTGCTGTCTGAGAAGCGCCTCACGGAGCCGTGGCCCTGGGCTGGGGCCGGAGCCATCCCTGGGGCTGCAGCTCAGTGCTCCTGGCGCACAGAGAGGCTCCCTTCGGCAGGCATTTGGGTTTCCCTCCTGCTGTCCGGCCAGAGGCTCCCTGAGAACGGATCTCTGGCTGGAAGCGGGGACAAACCCACGTGTGGACGTGGCCGTGGGCTTTGTCTTTCCTTCTGTTGTTCCACGGTGAAGCAGAGCTCATCTCTGGGGAAAGCCAGAGCCAGGGCTGTGTCAGGCCGAAGCCAGGAGTCCTCAGCTCCATCCGGGTCCCCATCTTTGTACCTTACCCTGCCTGCCAGCGTGAGAATTAGGAGGAAGCTGGATCGGAAGTGGAGGAGCCGGGACTCGAAGCAGACACTCAGATGTGGGATGCACGTGTCTGCAAGAGGTGTCGTAAACGCTGCACCAAATGCCGCCCTGTTTTCAATCCTTCATTTATTACATATTCACAGTCTGGGCAGTGTTCGCCGGGCCCTGTTCCAGCTCCTGCAGACACAGATCTGGCTTTGCAATTTTTTGGGGGGGGTAACCTATGTCCTGAGGCGAGGGTTGCCAGACAGACACTGAGCCCCTGGGCAGCACAGATAGTGAGGTGTTTCCCTGGGGACAGTCCGAGTGCTGTGGGGACAGGAACAGGACGGTGGAGTGGGGGCTGGGCTGTGCTGGTGCAGAGGGGCATTCAGACTGACACAGGGGGTCACATGGAGACCTGAGGCCCGAGATGGGGTGTGCCAGGTGTGGCCCAGGGCCAGCAGGGAAACTGGTCAGGACGGAAGGGGAGCAAGGGCTGGGACCGTGTGTTGGACAAGGTACCTTTCCAAGACTGTGACAAGGACTGGCTGCCGATGTCTCCCTTCCAGCTCCAAGGGCTCAGCTGTTCTTCCCTGTGGGGCACAGCTTGGTAGAGGCAGCAGCAGGAGCTGGGGACAGGGAGGACACCATTGCACTGCCCTGGGTGGGAGGGGTGGGGGCTCCAGCGAGAGCTCATGCTGAGACTGAGAGGCAACCCAGGCGGCTGACCCTAACAGGGGTCCCAGGAATGGGGGAGACAAGAGGAGGAGACCAGGATGTCCGGGAAGGGGAACAGGGCTGGCAGGGGGAGCTGCCAGTGTCGCCCGTGGGCTCTGATGCCGGATGAGGTCACCCAGCATGTGGGCACCGATGGGGGCCCTGAGCCCTGAAACCCCAGTCCTGGGGTACCACCCCCACCTCGCGCAGCCCTGGGAATGGCTCTGAGGATGACAAATGTCCTTCCTGCCCTCGTCACAAACTGCTGGGGTCTTGACCTGGCCTGTGGGACAAGGTGAGTGACCTTGGTGGAGGCAGCCCTTGTGGGAGGAAGGCTCCGAGGAGGAGGAGGTTTGCACGTGGGAGGCTGGCTGGGTGGCCTGGGCATCCTTGTGATGGAGCAGACGCAGTGGCACCGGCGGCAGGAGAGCTCAGGCTATGACACAGCCACAGCTGAGGTCCAGTCCGTTCTGCAGGGGCCCTGGGGAGCCGGCCCTTTCCGAGTTGGCCCTGATGGAGGCAGAGAGGCCTCTGGGCGGAGCCTCAGGCGAGGTGCACAGGGCCAGGAGCAGGGAACTGAGTGTCTGGTTCTGAGGGGGACCTAGGAGGAAGCCCCAGGGTCAGGAATGCACCTGTTGGGGGAGGTGACCAGGCCCGTGCAACACAGGGGCAGCTCGGGGTCTGTGAAGAGAGCTGGGTTTCCCCGAGGAGTCAGCGCTGTCGGACTGTCCAGGAGCCGGCCGGGGTGTGCTCTGCTGAGTGCGTGGAGGGGAGGCTGCCCACTGGAGGACCTCACTCAAGCCCAGCTGCTCACAGAGGACCACAGAGGCCTGGAGGGCGGTGAGAGCGGGAAGCCGGGAGAAGCAGCCAGCGCCACAGGACCATGGAAGCTTCCGGAATGGGGTGGGGGCACCTGCAGAGGTGTGGCGCTGCTGTAGTAGGGGAGATGTGCCTGTCGCTTCCCAGGAAGAAGGGTGGAGGGCGGCCCCTCCCCCACAGGGGCCAAAGGCAGATTTCCACCACTTTCTCTCATTTGGTTTCTTGGGGCCAGACTGTGGGCAAAGCCACTGCTTTACTGGGGCAGGGAAACCTCCTCACAGCGACACTGAGAGGCACACTGAGGGCCACGGTGCCCACTGAGCGTGTGACAATCCCAGCTCTGCCATACCTGGGCTGTGTGACCTCGGGGAAGTCCCTCACCCTCTCTGGGCCCCTCCTGGCGTCTGGTTGCTGAGTTGGGTGAGGGCTGGGATCTGACAGTGGTTCCCTTTGCTCTTGGGAACTGGGAAGCCCCCAGAGGTCGCAGCCCCTCTTTCCTGGCTGCAGCCAGGAGCCCACGCCCAGACCCTGAGGGAGGAGGGTGCGTGGGTGCAGTGCTCCAGGGACCCCACCCACCTTGCATGAGTTGTTGTTTGTGTCAAGAGCGTCCTACCTACTACGTCCGCCGTCCCCACGTGGGCACCGCTGTCTCCTCCACGCAGGCTGCAGATAAGGCGGGAACAATGTTATCGTGGCTGCCAGCCCCTGTGGGGCACTGCCCATTGTTGGGCAGCCTTGGCTCCTGCAGGGGTGCTGGGCGGGTCCGGTGTAGATGGATGGACAGCTCAGAGGGCCAGGGCGGAGCCTGGCTTCCAGCAGAGGCTCAGAGACTGTGCCCTGGGGAAAGAAGGGAGAGAGCAGCTGGCCTCTTGCTGGGTGGGCTTGGGCCAGTCGCTTCAGCTCTGTGTGCCTCTGAAGGCCGTTGTCTGGTGGAGACGTTAAGTCTGTGAACCATACAGTGCTGTGTAGACAGGAAGCAGCAAGTGTTAGTGATCGAACTGGGAGCACTTGTGCCATGTGGGTGGGAAGGTGACGTGGAGCCTTCCCTGAAGAGTCCTGCGTGGCTCACAACAGACGCAGCTCCGAAACGAAGGGTGGGGCCCACACCTGGCCCCGCCGTTCCACCTCTGTGCACAGACCCAAAAGGAGTGGAAGTAGGGGCACGAGCAGCTTGCTGGCCCCCGGGGTCACAGCAGCCTTCCTCAGGGTAGCTGGACGACGAGGGCAGGCTGTGTGTCCACCCGCGGGTGGATGCAGGAGCCTACCCAGGAATCGGAATATCTTGTACCGTAGGAAGGAGGGGATGGTGATGCCGGTTCCCAGCACCTCAGTGCAGTGAGGACGTGTGCCGTGGATGAAGATTCTAGAACAGTCAGATTGCCGGAGACCGCAAGTAGGACTGTGGCTTCTGGGGGCAGAGTGTAGTTTAGTAGCAGAACGATACTCGGCGGGACCGCTGAGCTCTCCAGCACCAGCCTCCTGCTCAGAGCCTGCGGCTGTGGGGCCCCCATTGGCAGCACACCCGTCTGGCCTCCGGGGAACACCCATGGATTTTTTTTAAAGACCCTTCCCCGAGAGTTTCTCACTGGGGCTTGGAGCTCCTTTGGCCCCAACCCTTGGAAGTGGATCATGTCTTTGCTTGGGGTGAATCTAAACCATGAACTCCAATGGCAGAGATGGTTTGCTGGTCCCACTGTCTGTGTACCCCTCTCTTCCCCCACCTTGGGGAGGTAGCCTCCTGGGCTGGTTCCTTTTTTGTGAGCCCCCCACAGTCCTTGGAAGCCTGTGCCCTGAGCATGCACCCTGTATCATGGTGGCTGGGTGCTTGGACCTGAGACTCAGGCATACAGGGTGTGAATTACCACCTTGGGAAAACTGACCACACATGGCTGCCCAACTCCTAGGGCTGATCAAGGACACGGGCAGCCAGGAGCATCCTGGGAGCTCGGGCGAGTAAGGATGCTCCTGCCAGGAGCACGGAGAGCCCCAGGGCTGGGTGCAGCGTGCAGCTGTGATGGACACCCTGTGTTTCCCTCTATTGTATTCAAATCAAGTCCCAGCGGGTGCCGTTGGGGAGGGGCCTGAACGAGGTCAGTCCTGCAGCTTCCTGAGGCCAGGCCACTGCAAAAGCAGACGCCACCCTGGCCGGACGTCTGGACCATGGACAGCTTTGCCGGTGAAGCCGACAGTAAGTGAAGCCGTGGAGAGGGCGTGGGTGCCACCTGAGCGGCTGGTGCCTCACGCAGCCTGTGTGTGCCTGGGCGCGGTGCGGCTGTAGGTCAGCTCGGTGCTATGACAACATCCAGACCTCCCCGTCTCCTTTGCTTCTTTCCTCTTGGGGTGCGGGGAGCCCATTTGTTGCCTGCGACCCCATCTTCGTCCCGTGGCTCTGCACAGGGGAGAAGGCTGGGGTGGCCTTTCTTACGTGGCCCACAGTGGCCCTGCCTCAGACTTCTGTCTTTTCCCTTCCTCTGTGTGCTGCACAGATCCCTCCCCAGGCCGCACGTGAGCGCGCGTGTCAGGACTCTTGGCTCATGCTTGTCGTTAGATGAGCCAGCCTGCTGAAGGTCCCTGCGGCTCATCACTCCAGATCCCCCCATGGCCAAGAGCCTGCTCATTCATTCCGGCTCCCGAGACGTGCCCCAGGCGACCCCAGGCCATTATCTGAACAGAAATAAAACGGACTCCAAGCGCTAGCGCTCTTTAAAACCACAAAGAAGGAAATGGTGTTTTAGGAAGAAATGAGCTATGTTTACAAAAGGAAACACTGGATCCTGAGTTTGGAATGGGCCGTGCCGTGGCGTGGAAAGAGCATCCGACCTGGTCTGGGTGGCGCCGGCTCTCTGGGCTCCACTTAATCCCTCAGAGCCTCAGTTTCCCCTCATACAAAGGTTGGGGCAGGAGTTCTTGATTTGAGGACCATGAGACTGTGGGCAAAAGGCTGCGTGGGTGTGATTTTGGGGTGAGGTGGGGCAGGATCTGCAGACTCACCCAAGGCCCATGACCCTTGCCCATCGTCATTGTCACTGGGCGTGGTGACCTCGAAGCCCTCCGAGGGCCAGCATCGGTGGTCGTCTTTAACGTGGGGGCCTCGAGGCCCCGGGTATCAGAGTGGAACCACAGAGCGAAGCTCACCCGGCTCGGCCCAGGGCGCTCCACTTGGTGGGCTCCTTTCCACCGTGAAGTGGAAGGGTGATGGGTGTGTCGCAGCCAGTGTCTGAAGGGGGCTGCTCTGGTCGCTGGGGTCCTGGACGCTCCGTGTCCTTGGACTTGTGCTCATGTCCTCTGCTAAGGTTCCACTGCCTTCTTTTCCTTAAAGGTTTGTTCATTTGAAAGACAGAGTGGCAGAAAGAAAGAGGTCTTCCAT